ACCGCATTTTGCTCCATGATATTTTCGTTGAATCTTTCCGAATGTTACAGTAGCTTTTAGAGTTTACCTCAGCCTAATGGTAGCAAATTGTACAGGAGAAAAAAGTTACTAAAATTATCGCAATTAAAGCGTATAAAAATTGAATGCCGGATTGATTAAATCAAGAGCGACTTTCTTTGGTGTGAATTGACAGTGAGGTGACTAGACAACTCTCATTATCATTGCTGAACAGTTTGACAGAAAAAAATCAAGGAAATGTCACTTGAATTTTTAAATACATGACTGCTATATTAAGTGCAACATATCTATCACTTTTTTTAAGGCCCGCTTAATCCATCCCTGTTCAAAACTCAAAAATAAACTTGATTTACGTACTGATAATTATCTCAATGAATATATTGTTAAAACAAGTATTAATAATACTTGTTTTAACAATATGATCATTGAAATAGTTATAAATCATAATACTATTATCAGTTTTGTATTTCTTATCGAGGTCAATAAAATAGTTACACAGATTTTTCTATTAGTTTGACTAATTTGAATAATTTCATAAATAAAGTTAAAAAGACTTTTTTGACTAGAAAACATTATTATCTATTTCTAACTATTAAATATTATTAGTCTTATTTTATATTTGTTAATATATTTAACTGTTAATGTATATAACTTCACGAAAGTTGTAAAATTGTATTATTTAAATATTGTTGAAACTATAAATTGTGCAGAGCTTCTTGAAAAGATCTATATGAACTTTTTGAAGTCCTTTCATTGATATTTTATTTATATTATATGTATTGTAAAGATTGGTAGCAAAAAAAAAAAACTTTAACGGAAGATTTAGCGGGATGAACCCCGGTGTCACGTTAAAAAAAGTAGATAGTTAAATTAGACAAAATGATGTTCTGCGCATGCGTTACTTACGGATTTCTGCGCATGCCTAAGGCTACGGATATTATTTAACGCATAAGTCACGTTAAATAAGTAGATCGTTAAATAAGTAGACAAATTGAACAGTCGAGGCATTTTCTGTTGAATAAATTTAAAAAAAAAATACTTTAACCCATGGAGGTTTAATAAACCTCCTTGCGTTAACCGAACTAAAAGCATTTACTTTGTAAAATTAAAGTTTTAAACGAACTTTTTTTCTAATTATTATTGCAAATAAAAATGCATCTTTAATCATTAAAAAGTTATTAGTTTACATAACAATTAAGTATATTAATATGTGAATCAAATATGATGATACGTCGCTCTTCTGTTGGTGGGAATCAATATCTTGCCCTCCCAGTCATTCGCTTCGGCATATTACAATAGATATCATTCAAATAATGTTATTATAGTATTAAAAGTCATATAGCTTCTTTAGTTTAAGCTGTACATCAAGTGTCCGGAGTTACCCGCCGTCCGGGGCTACCCAACTTTATTCTACTTAAAGTATTTTACAAAACATTATTTAATGAAAATTCAATTACTTTATCAATAGTTTTTTAAAAAAAAGTGCTTGAAGAACTGCAGCAAACAATTAGAAGTCAGGAAGAAAGGTTTGAATTTAAAATTAGCGAAACAGAGGAACTATTTAGTAATGAATGTTGCATAACAAACAGCTATACTGAACTCAATCTAACGTTTCGATAAAATGGAGTTCAAGAACGTTAACGAAGACAAAGAAATTATGAAAGTATTTCAAATATAGCTTTAGCAAACATACGCTATGGCACATACTTACTGGAAACAAACTACAGTTTTTTTTTATAGAGTTAGACACTCAAACCAGGACTAGCATACAGACCATGCTTTGCTCAGAGAATATAAAGGAATGAATGGTATAGAGTTAGTTGTAAAATTAGAGGGGAAAGATTTATCGAGACAGTTAATGTCTACTAATCGGTCAAAGAAAAATTTGATTTTAATGAAAAAAAAATATATATATATAAGTTTGGTTTAATTAAAAAAAGTTATAAAAAGAGTTCTTGTATTGTTAAATAGATAGCTAAATGATAGATAAATGATTATAAATAGAAACTATTATAAAAGCTTTAAAAATAATAGAATAAACAAAAAATTTAAGCTGTCAAAAATATACAAACACAAGTAAAAGTGTGTAATTACAATGTTTAATTTTCAAGCTAAAAGTAAAACCTGTACCCTTAAGTTTTTAACATACATAAAAATGTTCAAATCTACCCCAGCATAGGAAAACTTTGAATCTACTTCAGGCAGCTTTGAATCATTACCAACTTAGAATCATTACCACTGAAGTGCCTCAAGTAGATTTAAAACTGCTCCAGAATGGGGTAGCTTTGAATCTAGTGATGAAAATTTTCCAGTAAAATTTGATTCAAAGTTTACCGGTAAAATTTACCGGTAAATTTTAATTAGAGAACGGTAAATTTTCCTTTAAAAAATTAAAAAAAAAAAATTAGTGCAAAAAAATTTTAAATTTTACCAGGCAGTAAATTTTCAAAATTTTCGGGTAAATTTACCGGAAAATTTTCCGGTAAACTTTACCTTCGCAACACTATTTGAATCTACATGAGGCAGCTATGAACCATTACCAGCTTAGAATCATTACCTTGAAGTTTAAGATATAAAGTTAAAGATATCAGAAGGTTAAAATATAAGAACTAAAATATAAAGATATATAAAAGGATTACTATATTTTTTAACTTCATTAAGTTTAACTTTTATTGGTAACAATTCGCTTTTATTCTTATACAGCCTGATGTCCACTTTAAAGAAAAAATCAAAAAAGACTTAAGTAAAACTATTAAACATATTAAAAGTATTAACTTATAACTTATGCGGTAGTGGTGTAGTGGTAGAGCGCTCGCTTCATAAACGAGTGGTTCTGAGTTCGATACCCACCACGTCCCTGGTAGTACCGCGCTCAACTCGTTTCTCCGCGCAGCGGCCTTGTTCGTCAAGGTTCGTGTTTCAGAGTTATAGAGTTGAGAGAGGGTTATAGCCACAAACAAGTAGCCTCCTCGTCTGTAGCGGCCTTCTCGGCCTTGAGGAAGTGAATTAAAATAAAAAAAAAAAAAAAAAAACTTAATAATATGAAAAAATTTATATTTGATATTTTACCAAATAAACTGTGATGAAAATCAAAAAAAATCAAGTTAAACATAGAATAAAGTAATTTTTATGTTACCTTGATTTTAGGAGTTTCATGTTTTAAAGTTCTCATGGACTTTTCAAGTTTTGTCTGGCGTAAAAGATAATTTTTTTTATTTTTTCTTTCTCTGGAATATTAGTGAGAATCTCAGATTTGCCACTTCTGCCTTAATTTTTTTTTTAAGAGGTTGAGTTTTTGGAAATTTTTGGACCATTCGGAAATTTTCTTACGGATTCAGTTGTTATAGTGTGGTTTAATTGAAAGGCATTTAAAAATTATTTTTTTCTTTTTGGCCATCAATGATGTTATCTTGTTTTTTAATAATTATGTCATCAGATGTGCTAGAAATGTGATGTATAACAACTTTATGAAGATCCTTAAAGTTAGATATACTAAATGTTTCCATCGGAGGATGATTAATTACTTCAGCACATAGAAAGTCATTGTTACAGAAAGCATTTTGTGAAAAAGGAAATGTTCCAGTTGTGGAAAAACCAGAAATAATACTCATGGCATTAAATGTAGCGGTATATGTTGGTGTCAATATGCCAGCTAAATCACGTATTATTGTTTTCCCTGCATTGGATAAAAGCTAATCATTTTGACATGTAAATAATTTTTTCTTAAAAAGACCATTAACTGCCACGTCTAAAGGTTGCGTGCAATGAGTGCAATAAAATTTCAAATGGCATTTCCTATACCACACATAGTAATAAGCTGCCACGTTCAGCAGACGCACATTTTCCCACTTGTTTTATTCCACGTTCTATTATAACATTGGGCAATTGTAGTACTGTTACTATGTTGATTTCATTAATATTATAAAATTTTTCAGGAGTAAAACTATGTTTTTTTAAAATCCCTTCATTGTTGTCAAATATTTTTTTTTTACATTGGGCTGATTAAAACTTGTTAAACAAGACAAACTTGTATTTTCAGATTTACAAAGTGAAAGCTCATTGTGACGTTACATGAAACCTTTTAACCAATATATACCAGTTTGTTTATTTTCTCTCCATATAACCGCACATTTGCTGAGTTTCAAAGCACATTGAAATGCTAATTCCCTAACTTGTCTGTATGTCAAACCATAACTTATTTTAAAGCTTTTTATAACGTAGTCTTTCAACATCTTCTCCTCATCTTTATTAATTACTTGTGAAACAGTATACTTTGTTGTGAACCCTAGCTTAGTCTTGGATAAGAAATGTTAATATTTCTTTATTTGGTAATGTAAAGTACTACGTTTTATATTATAAGTAATAGCTTGGTTTTGCTTCATAAACCCATTTGCAAGATCAACAATATGTTAATACTTTCCTCTTTAACCTCTGTTTCTCTTTTTTTTTTTTTTATAGGTTTGAACCATTTTTAACTTTAAATCAAAAAATAAACCGTAACAATGAAATTTTATTAGTGCAGAAAATCTAAAAAACAAATTAAAAGTGCCCCATTCATAATGTTTAAAACTGTCCCGACAGCATTATTATTATTAAACGATCATTTTTTCAATCTAGACATGTTAATTTTTGAAATTTTTTTGCGAAACTGCAAAGGGGACTTATTCTATTTTATAAATAACATAAAACTTATATATTTTATTTTATATAAAACTTAAAAATTTTTATAAGTAACATACTACTTGTTAAAACGCGGCAGGGAAAATCTTACACCTTTAAAGATGTTAAGTTACAAAATAAAGTTCAAGTCGAACCTGAATCAAGTTTGCTTCTTGCATTCCACCCATAGAATACAAGTTATCTTAAATATATAAAATATTCACTTAAAAATATACAGTGCTTAAAAAGTAAAAAAGATGTGCAACTGATACAAATATAAAAACGAATGTAAAAACAAAATCTCACTACAATCATATGATTTGTTAATGATGAACAAAATTCCTTCTAGCCTCATTATAATCTCCGTTTCGAAAGTTAAGACTCATCATTGAAAGCTCAATGTTTCGATGATGTTCTAACTGTTCATAAATTTTTTGAGGATTTTTTTTTTCAAATGAGTTTACTGATAAAGATTCTTTATAAACAAAATCTCGAAACTCCTCCACTGTGTTTCCTTCCACTTTATCAAACATTCCAATATCTAAAGCTGTCGAAGAAAGTATTGGCAAGGCTGAGTCCAAAAGTTCTTGAGATTTTTTTATTCCAACACGCTTTTTTAAAAAGTATGTGTGATATTCAGATCCAAATAATTTCATAGACTTGTAATGTGGGTTTAAAACGACTCCCTTTCTGCACCAAACGTAGTCACTTGCCAAAGACATCATGCAACCGCCTGCCCCAGCGTTTCCTTGTAAGGCCGAGATAGTTATTTTAGACATTTGGAAAATCTGTTTCACAACATCGTTAATAGCATTAATATTTTCCCAAGATTCATTGAATGAGTCTTCTGCATGATCAATAACATTTAAATGAATTCCATTACTAAAATAGTTGTAACCTCCCATTAAAACAACTGTTTTTATTAATCGATTGCTATCAACTAACTTCAAAACCCTCTCAAGCTGTTTACATTGAGAAACACCCATTGCACCATTATAAAAATTGAAGTAAATGAAGCAAACACCATCAACCACATTTGTCCAAATTTCTTGAAAGGTTTGCGGCTCTTCTCCGACTGAATAATTGAGCTTAAGAGTTGGAATGTACGCAGTTGAATGTTTTGCTTGATTGAGCCAAAATAAAGCAGGTAATTTCAATTTATTGTTTTTTAAATGAGACAACCAAATGTAACCATTAATGCATTTAACTAAAATAGCTCCGTTTCTATGCCCAACAACATCCCTAGGTGTACTTGTATCAAAGTTAAAAGATTGTTCTTTTTCTACAACAGAGCCAAATACTCGGAATTTTTCGCTGTAGTTACATTTCGGCACAGATAAAACAGCGATTGCTCCAGGTTGAGTATCAGACATGCGAATAATGCTTGATATTTCTTCAACAGAATATTTCCAATCTATCTCTCTATCTTGATTATTCATATTCCTTTTGAGAACACCTTTTGTGTTTGGGTCAGAGTAATCTAATGGTTTTGAAGGAGCCTGATCAATAAAGTTTTTAACGGCTTTTAATACTGATACCACACTAGCATTAGTAACTTCGTTACTATACAAACTTGATTTTGTTAGTGAATTCATGTTATTTCGATTAATTGAAAAATTGGTTGTTGACCATATGTTTCCTGCATCCATATCTTCTGCAGCCTCCAAAACTGTTACTCCCCATTCGAGTTTGTTTTCTTTTATAGCCCAGTCTAGCTAGGTCATACCTCGATCTCCTTGGATTCCGGGATGTACAATTAAACATGGCTTTGTTTTAATAGACCAAATCTCTTTTGGTACTCGTTTTGTTAAAAATGGACAAATAATAAGATCGTGATAGTATTCTTTCGAAAATTTTAGCATATCGTCTTCTTTATTTATTTGTAACACTTTTAATCGATGACCAAGGTTTTGCAACTCTAAAAAAATCCTGTGGCTCAAACCATTAAACTTGTTTAGAAAAAGTAAGATGTCTAGGCTTTTTGAACCTAAAAAAGTAATTAAAAGTAAAATTTATACACATCTAATGAATTATAATAATTAATATACACACACATAAGACCTGCGCAATGAGGGTATGTATGGGAGTGCGATACCCCCCTCTCTTCATCAATATTTATTTAGTCGGCAAAATTGACCCTTTTAGACAAGTCAGTCGGTAAATTTAGACAAATTATTCGGCAAATGTCAACTAGTCAGTCGGCAAATTTAAAAAAAACGAGGACTTTTTATATATACACACACACACACACACACACTACCTTTCATTATTATTCGAATGGCATTTTCTTTTATTTTTTTTTTAAATGCTTTTTTTAATTTAACTATTTTTATGTTTATTTTTGATACTATTAGATAATGTAAAAGGTAATGTAGATAGTTAATAATTAGATAATATAAAATTTTGGTTAAAATGCTTTGATAAAAATTAAAATAATAATACAAATGCTAAAGTGGGCAAAACGACATAAAAAATGGACCATCAATGACTGTAAACGCGAACCGACATGTTGAAGTTTTCTTTGGTTTTAAGATAGTCTAAAAGAAAAATCGTTGAATTTATGATAAAATAGTGTGTATTATTTACTGTAAAACTTAGTGGATGTAGTGTTAAAGTGTGGTTAGAATGCCACAAGTGACTTTGTGAAAATAGAGGGACTAATGACAAAAGTAATTTAATTGTACACTTAAAAAATTATGCTAAACCTTCGGAAAGATGGGTTAATGAGAAGCTGTTCATTTTTTCAAAAGAAAATGACTTAAAGCTTAAATCTCAAACATACTTTTTAAAACTGTTTTAAGTTATTTGACTGAGTTCGAGAACGATCAAATATTAAATAAAATGATTTAGCCTCCCCAATCACAAGATCTCTCTTATCAAATTTTTATGGGAGAAAATTAAAGTAATGTTTAAAACTAGCGTCAAATGATGCATAAGACGTGGACAAAACTTAATAGTTAATGGCATAAAATTGAATTCGACAAACGGGATAAACCGTTAAGTAGAATGCTAAGAATATGTATGGCGGTTATTGTCGCCAACGGTGATTGCCAAAGGCATGTAAATTATAAAATAATCTAATCGGACTTATATTAATATTTTTGTAAACCTAATAAAAAGATAACCAGGTAGATTTTACTAACAATTTCTCTCCCAATAGTAAGTAAAACTATAATATCTTATTTCAAAAAGTACGACCATTCGAATAATTATCGACGGTAGAGGTAGAGTTTATATATATATATATATATATATATATATATATATATATATACATATATATATATATATATATATATATATATATATATATATATATATATATATATATATATATACATATATATATATATATATATATATATATATATATATATATATATATATATATATATATATATATATATATATATATATATATTACTATTTTTTAAATCACAAAAACGAGGGAGAAAAAAATTCTTACCCATTTTTAAATCTGTTTCAAGCTTTTATTTACAAAAAACTCAATGTTTCTTCAGCTCCAATAAGTAAATTTTTTTCTTTTTTTTCTTCAACAAAACTTGAAGTCTTTTTGTCAAATCATTTAAATGAGAATGTAATTTATGATATTTATAATGATGTATGGAAGCCGAGAAAGCTCATCACAAAAATATCTTTCAAATCCAGAAATATATTTTAAATCCAGAAATATATTTTAAATCCAGAAATATATTTCAAATCCAGAAATATATTTTAAATCCAGAAATATATTTTAAATCCAGAAATATATTTCAAATCCAGAAATATATTTTAAATCCAGAAATATATTTTAAATCCAGAAATATATTTTAAATCCAGAAATGTATATTTTTAATCGCAAAATATTGTTTAAATCGCGAAATATATTTTAAATCCAGAAATATATTAGAAATCGCAAAAAATATTTCAAATCGCAAAATATATTTGAAATCCAAAAATTTATGTTTAAAACCCAGAAATATATTAGAAATCGCAAAAAATATTTTAAATCCAGAAATATATATTTTGAATTTCACATGTTTTGAAAAACAAAAAGCTGATAATAATAACAAACAAACGAACAAAAACGCAGTTTTAGTAAATAAACAATTAAAAGCGATCAAGTGATAAAATGTTTGTTAATTTTTGTTTTTGTTGTGGAAGAAAATATTTATTCAATACTGAGTTTTTTTGCCCTCGGTGCGGGGAACGAAGGAAACGATCAAAGGAAGAAACATCAATTCAAAACAACTTCACTGAAGAATTGATTAAGCATTACTTTCACAAAGGAATGCAATACAAAAAAATTGTTTTCCTGTTAAGTCGCTACCATGGTTTGGAAATTAGTGATAGTACATTAAAACGTTATTTAAATAAAATGGGTTTAAAAAGAAAAAATAGATTATTTGAAAACACTTCGATTCGCCGCCTAATAGAAACAGAGGTGCAAACCTTTGCCGGAATTAAAGGTTACCGCAGTATATGGCACACATTACGCATAAGTTACGGTATCTCCATCAACAGAGATGACGTCATGAACATCCTCAGGCAAATTAACCCTGCGCAATCCGAAAATAGGAAACATTGTAAACTAAAACGAAGAGTTTATAGTTCCCAAGGTCCAAATTTTGTGTGGCATGTTGATGGCTACGATAAATTAAAGCCGTATGGTTTCCCTATTCATGGATGCATTGATGGGTTTTCTCGTAAAATAATTTGATTAAAACTTTGCCGAACAAATAAAGACCCAGTTATTCCGGCTCATTTCTATCTTAATGCATTGAAAGAATTAAAAGTGTGTCCAGATACTCTGAGAACTGATTGCGGCACAGAAAACGGCATTATTGCAGCAATACACTCCTTTGTACATAATGATATCAATGCACACAAGTACGGCAGTTCGCAGTCTAACCAAAGAATTGAAAACCTATGGTCGAACTTGAAAAGGACATATACAACATCTTTTATAGAATATTTTAAAAGAATGGTTTTTAATGATGATTTAAGACTTGGAGATTGTTTCCAAATGGAATGCGTTTGGTTTAGTTACTCTGAATTAATACAATTTGAGCTTGATAAAATGAAAGAGGAGTGGAATTCCCATAATATTAGAAAGACCCGACATGCAAATGTTCATGGGATACCAGACGAAATGTTTTATTTACCAGAGCTCTATAACTACCAGCAATGTGGAGTAAATATTAACGATGACATTCTTTCCGGAATACTAAGTCAAAGAGATATTCACGCTGAAGCCTACGAAATTTTGAATAAGAGCGACTTGCAACTTGTTAACTACTTTAAAGACGTAGTAAACGAAAAAGGACTAAAAATGCCGCCGAGAAACTGGGATGAAGCAAGAAAAATTTATAACACAATTATTTATCAAGCAATATAGTTTCGTGTTTTCAACTATAAATATATAAAAATACACAAACAAGCTATATAAGTATATATATATATATATATATATATATATATATATATATATATATATATATATATATATATATATATATATATATATATATATATATATATATAAAGTAAGAAATGTCTTCACGCATTTAAATAAGTCCAAAATGGTAACTGTTTTTTACAGCTAATGAAAGTGCTTCCTTCATAGTGTTTTCTGTATTTATATGAACTGGCAGATTTAACTGTATGTCACAAGTGCTGACTGTTGGTAAACATTTGCATTCTTTACCATTATTTGTTAACGGACATCCATAAACAAAAACTATAGAAATATCTTTTGGAAGCCCTATTGCGGGAATGGACGGCGAGCCAGTCAAAAACTGCAAAATATCATTTGATGAAGGATCCGCCAGTTCTAAATAATAAAAATACATAATCTGCTGCTTTGTTTTTGAGAGTATTATAATAAATTTAACAGTAAAAAGTGTCAATACCAGTATTGAAGCTATACTCAACAACATCAAGAAAAGCTTTGTATGTAGAAATTTCAAATGATTTTTTGTTCCCTCCGGATTCGCTAAACTGTGGTTTTAACAAAAGTATAAAATCATCAAATTTCCATATAAAACTTTCGTTTGCACAAAATAAAACTCGCATGATATTTGAATTTTTTTTTATAACTTCATAAAGGCCATACACTTGTAAACCAATCGCAATTTCTCCAACTACAGGTAAAAGTTGCTCTATTTTTCCTTTAATTAACATTGATCTAATGAAAAAAGAAAATAAAAATTGAACATATGAAGATATTTAAAAATAAGTTAAATGAATTGAGGCTAGAGGTTTATTAAATGATGAAATAACAAATGATCTTTGAAGATCCTAATTGATTTATTCATAGGGTATTATAGGTAACTATTGACTTACTCTAAAAGAGCATGTTTATCATCAATAGACGATTTTCTTGGATCACTTCTATATCCAATTATTTCAAGTGCATTCATTCCTTCTTCAGTACATAGCACATTAGTTAAATAGTCATCTGTAGTTGCAAATAAAATCTAAAAAAATTTATATTAATTCAATTTAAAATTAATTAATATTATTTAATAGATACACTATTTATAATTGAAATCAATTAGATTTTATTTATAATTTTTATATATTTTTATTTGTCACAGAAATAGCAAGAAAATGAGATATTTTACCTTATCAAAAATACTTTTTAAATTTGAAGATTCATCTAAAGCCTTTGAACAACACCGTACTGCAGTTGAAATGCCATTCACCATAAGCTCATAAACCCAAGGGGACAAAAAAAAAGGTGCAGGTCCGCCATTCACAATAGATGCTGCAAATAAATGGCCTATAGTTTTTACTGTGCCATCTGCAACACTAAGAATACCACATGATGGTACATAGCCAACCAAATCATCGCCAGTAAAGAACCTAATTTTAATTGATTTTAAAGCTTCTAAATACAAAAATAAATATTGTAAAGAAAAAAAACTATAATTCTTGAAGCATTAATTTTAGTTTATTAATTAAATCTTAAACAAATAAATTGCAAATTATAACTGTTAAATTGTTCTTTTATTTTTGAGTCAAAGTTATAGAAAACACTAAAATTACCTTAAGAATTATCTTTTTGAGAAAAGATCAGATACAAAAAATAAAAAACAATTAGTCAAAAAAACTTTAAATAATCAACCAAAACTTTTCAAAAACAACAATTAACACTATTGATACATATAAACAGAGTTGTTAATCCTCAGGCTTGCTTTTAATTAAAAGAATTAATTCCTTGGTCATGAAACATTTTAGCCTTGTTGTTTGCTAAGTAACATTTAACATTAGCCTTGCTATATTTTAGCCTTATTAACAACTCTGCATATAAATTTAACCTGAATAGAATTCTCGAGACACTCCACCTGTATCGATAGCAGGCTCACCAACAAATGAAAACTTGTATAAATTGTGGATTTTATCCTTGTTCCAACTTTTAGTAAAAAATTTGTGGAAGTCTTCAAATTCAAATTGACGACGAACATTTATTCTGACATCGCCATCATGTATATCACTGAGTTGTTTTATTAAAACTGGAATCTTTTTTTTAAGATCATTTATATTCTCAGGTTTATCAAAATCTTGTTCTTTTTCATAACTATTAGTCAAATCAATTGAGTCATCAGAATCAATCAAATATACTATTTGCTTTTCTTTATTTTTTAAACAATTATCTGCATGTTGTTCAAGCACTGAAAAAGGAAACCTTTGATTACATACAGGACAAAGACCGCAGCTGACGCCTGAACTAGATTGACTGGCTGTTTGTTGTGAAGAAATATCTTTAAAATTTTTTACAGATTTACTGTCAACAACACCAAAATAAGAAAATGATTGATTATTTTCAATAGATAATTTTTCTGGAAAATCTCCAAGATAATTATTTGACAAAGTGTTATTATTGAAATCTTCACTATGATATTGAAAGCTGAAGTTATCTAAATCCGAAATAGAGCTGTCATTATTTAAATCGGTGACTTCTTTATTTTCTAGATTTAAAATACTTTGCTTACACAGATATAAGTCTATCTTTGAAAATGGTTTGTTTAAACTTTCTTTATACTTTTCAACTGTAAACAAAGAGTTAGTGCCTGGAACATATTCAGCTTTTTTTTTATCAGGATATAGTAGTACCCAGTTGTCGTTATAATCAAAAAATTGGTTATGATCTGCATGTTTTCCACAAGCGATTTCAAAAACCATCTTTGCATTACCTTGCCTTGGGACATGTATAGGCAATTTACTTCCCCTCACAATGTTAATTTCATCTTTACCATTATCTTTCATAATACCAACATTTATTGTTACATTCTCAATAGAACGACTTTTTTTTAGAGAGTCATTGGAAATTATCGGTGCAAAAGATTTTCTTTTGAACCTAGATTTCCTCTCGACAGTTTTATACTTTTGAAAGTCGCTAAGAGCAAATTTTTCATTTATGCGAATATTTACTTCCTCTTCTTCTTTAACCTTTTTCTTATTTCCACAAAATGTACAGAAATTGTCCTCAAGCTTTAAATTAGCTCCACATGAGGCACAATATGACGCCATTTTTTTAAATTCACATATGATAATTTGAAAATATCGCGATTTGAAATATATTTTGCGATTTGAAATATATTTCTGGATTTAAAATATATTTCTGGATTTAAAATATATTTCTGGATTTAAAATATATTTCGCGATTTAAACAATATTTTGCGATTAAAAATATACATTTCTGGATTTAAAATATATTTCTGGATTTAAAATATATTTCTGGATTTAAAATATATTTCTGGATTTGAAAGATATTTCTGGATTTAAAATATATTTTGCGATTTAAACAATATTTTGCGATTAAAAATATACATTTCTGGATTTAAAATATATTTCTGGATTTAAAATATATTTCTGGATTTAAAATATATTTCTGGATTTGAAAGATATTTTTGTGATGAGCTTTCTCGGCTTCCATAATGATGCAACGTCAATCAGCCTTTCGGAATCGTTTACGTTACGCAACTTTTGTAAATTACATTATATCATAGTCATAATATACATAGTCGGGCCAGTTTAAAAGCACTATTGTTTATCTTATTGTTAGCTTTTTTTTAGAACCCAGTCTACCAATGAGTGCACACTTTTTGTAAACAAATGCGCATTAAAAAGAAAATTTACAAGAAGATTATTGATTTATCCTTGATTTTTTCAAATGCTTCGTCTTAATTGTTACATATTTGGTTCTGGAACTTTTCGAAGAAGTATAAATCTTTTTCTATTTGAAATATTTTCTTCCGAGAATGATGTTTATAACAAAGAATCGAGAAGAAAAGTATTACAATTTATAAATAAAAATATATCTTTAGTTATAATATATTATAACTAATAATAAAATATGATATCAGATAACTTTTTATTGGATCGACAGGTTTACTACCTTCAATAAATCAACCAGTTAAGAGCTTTTCATTGGCAAGTCCTTCTTTAGGCAGATTATAATAGTTTCTCATATTACTAAAGCTCAACTCAAGGAAATCAACTTTTTCTTCTGAAGAAGACGAAAGTCAATATTTAAATATTTACATTAAAAAAAATCAATGCTTAATACAGTTGTCTAACCTTATTTCATTAAAAAAGAATATCAAAGCTATTTTGTGGCTATTTTACTAGCAACAAATCTTATAAAAACATTATTTGGTATATAATAAAAGATAAAAATCTTCAATGCAAGAATATCACAAGATTTAATGGTTTGTGCAAAGCACAAATATATATGTGTATATATATATATATATATATATATATATAATATATATATATATATATATATATATATATACATTTGCCATTATTATTTTAGAACACACATATATATATATATATGTGTGTTCTAAAGTTAATGCATTTAACTAAAATAGCTCCGTTTCTATGCCCAACAACATCCCCAGGTGTACTTGTATCAAAGTTAAAAGATTGTTCTTTTTCTTTGATACAATACACACACACACACACACATATATATATATATATATATATATATATATATATATATATATATATATATATATATATATATATATATATATATATATATATATATATATATATATATATATATATATATATATATATATATATATACATACATACATACATTAGGTACGTGGAAATCGCGGATTTTTATGCTAAAATATTGGTTCTCGATTTTTTTCCTCTTTTTTAGGCAGCATGAGGCAGATGTAATTTTATAAAGTTTCTTTTTAGAAACATATATGCACATAGATACTTTTTTGAAAGAAGAAAAGTTAATCTTGATTTATATATGTCATTTGTGTATGGTTACTTAACATTTTTGTAGATTATTTTGCTCCTAAAAATTTGGTTGATGTTCTCACATGAGTATTTAGTAGTGGAAATGTTGATCCCCCTTTTTTTATTATTTAGATAATTTTCTACATGCATTTTCTATGCACATGCCAAATTTCAACTAAAAATAAAGCTCCGCAGATAGTTTAATTAGTGTTATACTAAGTATACTTCTTTTTTTAGGTAGTCCTAGGCAAACATTTTTTTGTGGTGATTCTTATCAGAAACAAACCAATATTATTTTTAAAAGACGAAAGGTTAAGCTTGATATTTTATGAATAATATTTTTGGTTAGTATAATTTTTTATGGATTATTTTGCCAAAAACTTTGCATAAAAATTTGCTTGATGTTCTCACATGAATTTGTAGTCGAAGAAATGTTGATCCCCCTTTTTTTATTATTTAGATAATTTTCTACATGCATTTCCTATGCACATGCCAAGTTTCAACAAAAAATAAAGCTCCGCAGATAGTTTAATTAGTGTAGAACTTTTGGAACCTAATTTTGGCTTTTCTGTTGTTAGTTTGTTGTTGTTTTTTTCGCTAAGCGGAATACGGGGGCGGATAGGGGGGCCGACTCTACAAAAAAAAATTAATTCTAACATTGTATTATTTTGATTTTTATTATTAGATTAAAATAAAAAATGAATTCTGCAGACAGAACTTTACTTGACTCTCTAACAGGTAGTAAGTTTAATTTTTTTATAACATTATCAATAATAACTATTTTAAATCAAGAAATATTCATAAATCATTTATGAATATTTTTTGATTTAAAATTCTTTTTTATGTAACATATAAAAACAGATTAATTTCTAATCTGTTTTTATATGTTACATAAAACAGAAGATTAATGTTTCAGTTTAAAACTTTTGCTTTTGAATGGATTGTTAACTAATAGTATCTGATGACAATTTTATAAAGACACAACATATAAATAAGTTTAAAAATCAGATACTTCATTGGTTTATTCCTTGCAAAAGACTATAAGTATTTTTCAAATATGATAAAACTTATTAACTTATTATCATCTTTTATTATTTTTGGATTGTATACTTCTTTATCTGTGGATTAATATTTAAATCACAATACAAGCATGCCTAATGTTGACTTGTTGTTTAGATCCGGCTAGACATGGAGAGTTTTTGAGATTCCATAAGTATAAATCATGTATTTCATATATAACCACAACCAATATAACGTAATTAATCTATAAACAAAGTGAATAACCCATTCTTAATGTTAGCTTGTTGTTTATTAATATATCTTCTTTATATTTTCACTGTTAGTTTTCATTATGTTAATAAAGTTTTCATTATATTAATAAAGTTGTTGCATTTTCCACAGAACTTACTTACAGATAGTTGCTTTCATAATTTCATAGGGTTTTGTTGTTATTTTTAGTTTGATCTACCCAGCCTATCACTGGTAAGTTTGTGTAGGATAACTTGAATATTAAATATAAGCATGTTTATCTTGGGCTACCTTATATTATTTTTGATCTTCGCTCCTTTTATCAGTTGCTATGATTAGTTATTTTAAAAGCTAGTACTTTTTAATCTGTAAATAGATTTAATACCAATTTCAAAGTCGTCAATTGCAATATTTATTTTTTATTACTTTTTTTTACCTCTAGCAACATCTTCATCTGCAATGAATGGTAAGTTTAACAATTATTTCTTTTTAATGTTTACATTTCTTGACAAGTGCAAATATATATTTTTTAAACTTTTTAGCTCTAGTTCCATCCTCAACTGCATTGGGTGGTAAGTTTAAAAATATTTTTATTGCATCCTTTAAAAAACCTGTTCATATATGTATGTATTTCAGAGCAATTGCAATATTTATTTTTTATTATACTTTTTATAACTTAGTTCCATCTATATCTGCTATAATTGGTATGTTTACAAACTTTTACTTTTCAATATGTTAATACATTTCTTGGCATTTCTTCACAATATTTATTTTTATTTCAACTTTGTTAACTTTTAGTTACATCTTCGGCTGCTACAAGTGGTAAGTTTATAAACTATTATTTTTTAATATGTGTATGCATAATATGTGTAAAAACATTGTTTCTAATATGTCTATGCCTATCTTATCGACTGCAAATAAATTGTAATTTTATTTAAAAAATAAATTTAACTTTAATCCCACGACCACAACAATCTACACAACCTTCTGCTGGTAAATTTATGATTTAGAAATGTTTCTGAATGATTATTTAATTCATAATATTTTTATTTATATTCACTAATTAATACATTTGTATTATGTTATCCTTCAAAGTGCAGTAAAAGTAAAATCCAGAGCAGTATTTAATTTTTTACTTTAATTAACATTTTTCAAGCTATCATTGGTTTATTATTATTACAAGTAATTGGTTTATATTAAATGTTGTGTAATGCCATTCAATACTAATTTAGTAACAATTTATTGTCATCAAGAGCTTACCTATCGTGCCTATAGGAGATATCGTGCCTATAGGAGATGGACCGATTAGCAGTCGGTCATTTTTGCGATGGGTCCGGTTAGGAGAGAATGATGGTGAATCATTCAGCTAAGCCTATTATCCTCCTAATAGGGTTGCTGAGAGCTAGCATTGATAGGTGTAATAGTTTGCAAGGGAAATATTCTGTATGTTTTTAATGTGATTAAAATTTGTCGTGTAAAAAATATTAAAGTTGTAACTATAAATAGTTATTGACTTTTAAATGCGTTTAGGATTTTTTTATGATTTTATAGCCCATATTAAATGTTTTAAATTTATGTGTAATGTTTTATTGAGTTGATTAATATAAAATATCTTTTGCATACTTAATTACTACTCTTTTTTTTTTTAGTTTGTTTACTATTTGTTTGGGTTAAATAATATTATTTGATTTCAAACCAGTTTAATTATTTGATTTTAAACCAGTTTAACTTGTTTACAGTTTCTAAATATAATATTTATGTAACCAATACTTGTTTGTAGAAGATATGTATGAGATTTTTTAAGTCTATATTATTTAATACTTTTTTTACATGTTGTGTTATTATGTTATTAATTGTTAACAAATTATTATATATGATTTTTTTAATTTTCAAAAAATTTAATTAAAACTATGGTATATTAACTCTTTATATATATATTTTTAAAGGATTTATGGGTCCAAAAAAAAGTGGAGTTATGTTTTCGGATGCACTGAAAAAAGTGTAATGTGGTAAGATTTATAAAGTTGTCTTTCTTTTTAATTAAATCAATTTAAAAAAGTTTTTGAATTTCTATAGACATTTTTTTAAAGTTTAAATAAGTAGGGGGGCGGGGCGGTGGGGGGGGGGGAGGGACGTTAGTCGTAGCACACGCCCCTCCCCTAACTAATTTAGTAAAATAATCTTGTATACTAATTTCTTTTTTTCAATAAACTCAATTTAAAACCTTTTATCAAATCTCTTTTAAATTTTTTTTTAGGTTGGAGAAGACTGGAGGGTGGGGGAGAGGGCGTTGTGCGGTGCACACATCCTAGCCATAAAGTCAATATATACAACACTTTTAAATGCTGTAAAGTAAGAAAATACAATTTAAACTTTTTAACACATAATATAATCAGTGTTTTTTAGGTTATAGTATTTATAAGAATGGAAATTCAAAAACTTTTTTATCCTAAATCCTTTAAAAATATATATAAATCCATAAATCCTTTAAAAATAAACAAAGACATCGACCCTTTATTCTAAAATAGACCACTAATATTTTGAAATGGAATGCAAATTGGAACAACTTTTTGTGTATAAAGGTGACATATTTTATCAGAAAAATACTCTTTCGTGTAAAAAACTTGTATTTTTTTTAAGGTTACGACGGTGTTCCATACCCCCTCCGACCTTCTAGACACCCCTAGAAATCCAACTATTTTTATCTGTGTATTACTAAGTCAAATTCCTACACCTCTACCAAAAAAAAAAACAACAACAAAATCACTACCATCTACACGTAACAAATGCTGATGAAATTTTATATCATTGGATTTGTATAAAATTAATTGTTTTGATGACCTTTGCAAAAAAGTAAACAAAGAGAATATTACTTTTCCAGTAATATCCTTTACAGTGCATGATGGTTTAATAATCCAAAGTAAAAATTATATTGATACCTCTGTCGTTGCACAGTTTCTTTTAAAAAATTAAAATGAATATGCAATTTGAAGGTTTTCATTGTGGATCTAGATGCACGATTAAACCACTATGCAGTAATCAAATACATAAAGTTTTATCTTACTTACAAATTATTGAAGCTATTTGATATTTATATTCCATCGAAATGAATAAAAAAAAAATTGTCCTCTAACCAGTTATTATTATGCCTGTATTAACATTTGTTGGTAATAAAAAATATTCACCAGAAATTTTAAGTAGGGCTTTTGAGTATTTTGTAATTTCAAGATCTCTTTAAAATCGTATTAAAGATGATTATGAAATGCCAAGTATTGAAACATTTGGTAAACTTATATCAAACGTTGCTAAATTAGAAGATGTTTATTTCCTTAACAAATATTTTATGCATCTTAAAGATCGTTGTCAAAAAAATGTCATTATCATAATTGACGAAGTTTATGCAAAACCAGAACTAACATATCAAGGCGGTAATTTATTTGAAAAAGCAGTAAATAATCCAGAACATTTTGCAACCACTGTTATAAGTTTTGCAATTTGCTCATTATTTGGAGGTAAAAATTTTTTTTACAAAGCTCTGCTAGTGTATCATTTAAGTACTGATTTTCAATATGAGCAAGTTGCTGATATGATAAATTTAGTTTCTTCGTGTAATGGCAATACTGTTGCAATTTTGTTTCATAATAATAGAGTAAATCAAGCATTCTTTAAAAAATTCATTTTGATTTCTCCATGGAGGACACTGAAAACATTTTTTTGCTCTACAATTATGTCCATCTAATCAAATCTCTTAGAAAAAATTTGGTTAACTGAAAAAATTCAAGAGTTAAAATATTCAGACTGTGGCCTTGAAAAACTGCAAGTAGATTGACTTAGATATACTGTTTGAGTTGGAGAAAATTCTATTGTTAAACTATCAAAGCTCAATCAAATGTCTATCTGTCCGAAACCCATAGAACGACCGAATGTTGCATTAAGTATTCAGATTTTTTGTGCTGAAACATTAACTGCACAAATGATTTATCCAGAAATGCAGGATTCATGTGAAACTGTTGATTTTATATCAAAACTTGTAGACTTTTTTAAAATTCTAAATGTTAAAAGTCAGTTTGAAGATATCCGATTTAAAGATTTTATGATCAGCAATTAGAATTTTTACTTGATTTAGCAATTATGTTTGAAAAAATGACACGAAATTGCACGTTCGCAATACAATACTTTTTCTTTGTACTAAGAAAAAGTAATGTATTGCGAACGTGTTTTCTGTGACCATTATTATATTACAGTATTAGTTATATAGACTATAATCATATTTTATAGAGAATATTACAATAATACTTTTATTTCTTTGTTATTTTTATGTTGAGAAGAGCAAGAAAGACGTTTAAATATATTCTTTTTTTTTTACGTCTTAGAGTTTTATTTTGTTATAAAACATTGTTTAAAATTTGCACCACATAATTTTATTAAAATTTCATGCTAGAGGTCAATTGTAGTTTTAGGTGAAGAAATTATGAAATAACAATGTTTATAAAATAGTCAAAAAAATTCATAATTCAAAAGGATGCGGTGTAAAGTCAAGGTCAATGAGCTGATTTTTAAACTTAAGGCAAGGCCAAGGACTAACATCTTTGAAAAAAGCATGAAAACAAAAAAAATAAAAAAATACGCAGTACTAGTCTGAGTGACAAGCCCCATCACGCCTTCAAGGTGTACGTTATAATAAAATAAAAACAATCTTATTTTGTCTTGCAAAGTCTTGCAAATTTTTGCAAAACGTATACGACCTAGATCAAACATTTATATAGGCTCATCAGGTCTTATTATACCAGGTTTATTATACTTATAGTATTGCTTTGGTAGGTATAGTACTATTGTCGCAAAAAAATGTACATAATTATCTGAAAACGCTAAAGATTTATTTTTCTTACATGATGCATTTGTTAATGTACCGTTTTACGAGTCTCTTTAAACATCTTTAAATGATTTAAACATTAATCTTTAAATTAAAGATGAATATTTAAATCATTTAAAGATATATATATATATATATATATATATATATATATATATATATATATATATATATATATATATATATATATATATATATATGTATATATATATATATATATATATATATATATATATATATATTCTCTCTTATAAACTGATTAGCTTTAGGCTGAAGCTTATCGCTAAAAATCAATCTGCCGCAATCCTGACCTCTATAAGTATAAATGACATGAGTTAGTTATGTTCATTTTAAAAACCTTCTTGGCTATATATTTTTTAGGTATCTACATCATAATAAATACATGATTTTAAAGTTTGATTAATAATTTTTAGTATTAGCAAATATTCAACGAAAATTTATAATAAAATTAAAGATATCTTAATACAAAGTGCTTGTTTGGACATTTAAAAGGTTTTAGTAATGAAAAACAAGAGCAGAATAATTTTGTCTAGCATATGTCTAATATCCAGCCCATTGTGCACTGGTCGGAAAAATAACTCTAGAACCTAACTGTTTACATATCTATGAAAAAAAAATGTAAAAAAATAAATAAATAATGAAATAATGGATAATGGAATTTTGCCGACCGCCCGCATACTTTACCGTTTTTTTTTAGGACGGGAAACAACTTTGCAATTCAAAGTGGCCTAAAGTAAAAAATTACACAACTTTAATTGATTTTCACTTTATTATTGCATCTTTCAATCATACTACAATACAGTTCAAATGCTAGAATGTTTTTAACAAATTTTTTGGTTATCAAAATAACCTTTATTAAATGTCTTATATTTATTTTAAAAACCCTTTCTAGGTTGCTTTTTTTTTTTTTTGACTAACATATTCTTCGATAAAAAGTACTAAATACGTAACAACCAAAACATTGAACTAAATTTTTTTCTTTTTCTCTTTTTAAATATGATTTGCAAGTTTATATCCTACTAGAGGTGAGGATCTGTTAGAAAAATCCTTTCTGATCTGCAACTATAAATTTTGGATAAAAAACTTCAACTTCACTTTAAATAATTTTAATAACTTCATTTTATTAACTTGAATAAAAGCTTCGCATCATCTTTTAAAAATATGTACTATGAAAGCTCATCTCTGATATATGGAAGGCAGCAAAGATCGTTGTTAACAATAAGAATGTTTTTTAAAACAAAATTGATGAATTTCTTTGCAGAACTCGTTTCAGCAAAGATTGTTTGTAACAATAAGAATGTTTTTTTTAAAATAAAATTCATGAACTTGTTTTTAGAACACGTTTGCTTAATATCAGTTTGTGTTAATTTGCTGAGTTAAAGAGAAACTATTTGAATGCTGCTTTGTTATGTAGCGTTTGAATTTATGCTCCGACATTTTATCGTACACTGGTGGAAATGAATTTGGTTTAATTGTTTTTACTCCCAATTTTTACGAAAAAAGAACTGAAATTATTGATTAACTTGAGTTTACAAAAAAATATATCTGATTCTAGATCTAATATGAAATAATCGAAGCACTGTTTATATGTTGAGTTTGCCATTTTTTTAGAATTTTGTGCACTTATTGGTAGTCTGGGTACGATAAAAAAAACG